AAAACCCTACAGCCAGAGAGGAGTTGCATATTCAAATACATGAGTCCTGGAAATGGACCACTGTCGTGAGGGAGCTTCTGTAAGCTGTGATAAGGAGAGCACCATTCAAACATGACAACATGAGCATTGCACTTTATAACTGTGCACAACATGAGCCATCTGCAAATGACTTAAAGCTGAATTTAAGTATTCCTCAAGTGCAAAAAGACCACATATAATCATGCCATACCACCCTGCAGAGAGTTTAGAAGATACTTTACACTTTGTCTTCATAAAGCCACATACTTAAAACTCCAAAACCAAAGGATCCTAAAATTGTAGAAATGGCTCAAAAGAGATTTTGGGCAGAGAGAACAAAGGAATAAAAATAATAATGAGCAACTATATACTGTCATTTAAAAACTACCCTGGTTTTAGTAAAAAAAAATCTCTTGGTAAATCATTATTTGTACAGAAAGATTTGTCTTACCTGTGTTTCCTTACAAGTTTGGAAGGAGAAATTTTGCAAGACTCTGATGATAGCAAGTTTCATGTTCATGAGAGCAAACCTCATGCCAATGCAGTTCCTGGGTCCAGCCCCAAAAGGCATGTATATGTAAGGATCAATATTGCCCTTGTTTTTCTTACTGAACCTGGTTCCATTAGAGAACAAGAAAAATGTTAATCAAACATAAATACCACAATATTTACTGATTGGAGATTGTCACTGATACCCTCAACCCCCAAGCTGTTGTATATAGAAGATTTTGGTTGGACATGAAAACGCACTGTGCTTTTGCAATGAGTTGCAAGCGATAGATCTTTTCTATTTGCCTTCCCCTAGAGGAGTTTCCAATCTTGTTGACATAAGCCTATGGCAAAAAAATTAATCTTTCAACACAAAAATGACGCTCCTGTCCAGTAAGAGACGTTTTAGCATACTCAGAACAGACTGCATCAGGGAGAATTTATTTTCCCAAGGGCCCTTTACCTTTCAGGGTGGAACTCTTCAGGCTCTTTCCAATATTTGGGATCTCGATGAAGGGCATAGGTTGGTATCAGCACTACTGACCCTTTGGGAATGACCACTCTATTGATTTCAACATCTTTCTTACAAGCCCTCTCAAGTCTTCCAGCAATTGGGTATAATCTGAGTGTTTCATTCACCACCATATCCAGATACTCCATCTGTACCAGGGCATCATAGGTGGCAGGTGTCTGGGAAGAGATAGATTTTCATGGATTATATTTTGGCATTATCTTTCAACTCAGGCTATGCAGTACCTGTAAAGTCTTAGGAAGTCCAAAGACTAACTCATGTTGGTAAAGTACCTTAACACTGGGAAAACAGTTTAATAACTATCAATTTCTTTGACCTGCTTAATGGCCCACTCAGAAGTGTAGAGTACTTATGCATATGGGAGACCATTGGGACATTTTGCAGCCCAGACCCTGAAATTCTCAACATTAACATGTACTGCTTTTCTTTCTCATGTGAGGAAACATGACAAATAGATTATGACAGTTACACCCAAGAAAAATATGCTGAAGTCACTGTCATCTTTTAACAGAGGGGTTGCATTTCTATGTCAAGGAATAGAAGATAAAAAAGACGAAATCCTTGTTTCTAGTTGGAAATTCCTGTACAGTTGTTTTTGGTTATATTGAAAAAAAAATTAAGGAACATTATAGCATATAAGACTAGCAAGGTTACTCTTTTCCTCATATGTTAAAATTGACAGCATTATATCATCTATAAAACTCTATAAATAATTTGGGGGATAACTAGTACCTACTTTCCCAATGTAACAAAAGGTCACAAAAGGGTGCAACCAGGGCACACACCTTCAGTCTATTTCAAAATTCTGAGGAGGATGGGACCCACACTCAGCCAAGTCTCTGTGGATAGACCAGTCTCCTGTTTGATGTTTCAGAACTTCACTGTGACCTAGGAAGAAGATACTTTGTGGCCACCTCACTGCCTAACCAGCCATGTCAGCCCCAAGTCTTTTTACTCCACAAAATATCAGTTTAGGCAGAGATGAGAAAAAGCATGGGAACTATGTGACTATCTGTTGGTAAGACAATGGAGAGGCCTTATTTTATAGGTTAAGTTCATGAGTCAGGAGCCAGACACCCTGGATCACAAGTTAGATTCTTCATGTCTACCTCTATAAGTGATACATGAGGATTTGTGTACAGAGCTGAGTCATCCTACCCATCCTAGCCAAGTCCAGCCTCAATGGGCCTACAGCCAGGCCAAACTATGTCCAACAGTATCAGAAGAGTCAACTAATCAGCCACTTGACTGAAAATGCTCATAATTGTAGAGATGTTGTGGATGTTTCCTATCAGATATTATCATAACAGATAATGAATACAACAGAACTGAAACACTTTAATGAAGAGCTTTTATTTCTGTGAATAGCATCCATGACATATATTTTCTTCTGCATTTCTCTTTGCATATCATTTATTTATAGAGCTGGTGATGACACTCAATGCTTAAAAATTTGGGAACAATTCTCTTAGAAAGTGATTGTGATGGCTTGTATCTAAATGCTCCTCCCTCCAAGCCTCATGCACTGACAGATGGTACTTTAAGAAGCTGGATACATTTATGGTTTTTGATACACAGATTAAGAGTGTCTGGTATTAAATTAGTCCACTGAGTGTTTTAGCATAGTTCTGGGTGTGAGTAATAGAAAGGCCCACCCTGGGTGTTTGTGGCACCACTGAAAAGGCTTATAGCCTGGATAGCATAAGAAGGAAAAGGAGACTTGCTTCTCCTGATGCTGCTCACTGCCTCTTGCCTACACTGCCATGTCCCTCTGCCATACCATCCTGCCTTGGAGCCAGCTGGTGATGGAGTAAAATCTCTACAAACTGTGAGCTGAAATAAACCTTTCATCCTTAAATTTATGTGCCTTGGGTATTTTTTCACACCAACAAGAAAGTAACCAAGACAGATTTTGGTACCAGACAAGCGGGGTCTTTGCTGTGATACTCCCTGGCCAAGTGCTTCAGAAGCCTTTGGAACTGGCTTGAAGGCGTATTATGGAAAGGTTTAGAGATGATGGCTGAAGAAGCAGCCCTAGAATGCAGTGAGGTGAGTGTGATGGGAGATTCTGGTCAGAGATCAGAAGACCAGAATACTGACTGCATGCAGCTGGAAAAGACCAGGCTCAAAAGGTTTCATTTGGAAATGATTCCATTGGCAGCTGGATTCCAGATCATGTGTGTTATTCCCTGGCTGAAAATTTGTCTGCATTTTGCTCCTGTCCAGAGACTTTGCCTGAGTCTGAAATTAAGTGTGGCAGACTAATTAATCTGGCAAAAGAAAATTCAAGGTAATCTAATGATGAGGCATGTCAACTGTTGGGGACTTCAGCCAGATTTATGCTGAGAATCAAGAGCAAAGAGTCCAGCACAATGATTTTAATAGTTTTGTGTTTGGCCTGAAAGGAAATTCCTGAAATGGTGCAGCCTGCAAAAATGTAGGAGAGAAGAACCTTGATGCTGAAACAACTGGCATCAAAAATCCAAGTACTTTGGAACTCAATAATAGAAAGTATGCCCTGAGAATATCAAAATAATCAGAAGGATACCACCATTTGCAGCCTCAATATTTGAAAGGTGGAAGACATTGTTTTGAGAAGAGAATCCCAGAGCACCATGTTCTAGAATGCCAGCAGACCTTGGCATCATCTACGTGGTACTGGTTTAGGTGCATGTAGAATGCAAGAGTTCTAGGGTCAGAAAGGCTTCCACCCAGGTTTCAGAAGATGGCCTATGAAGCCAGGTAGTGTACTCCTGAGAGGGCGGTATGTGAAACTGTGAATGTGAAACTGAAGTTTCAGTGGAGACCCTGGGAGACTAGAGATGGAGGAGAACCACAAGGAGTGAGCAAGGCTGGCCCAAGAGAGAAGCCATGAGAGCTACAACCACCAGCAGTACCATAGGGGCATAAGCCCCTTGGGGTTCACATCTTGTAACAGATTGCACTGGATATTAGGCATGGAACAACAGGATTTAATGTTTGTCCTTCTGGATTTTGGACTTGCTTTTGTTACATCCAATTGGTTTGGGGACTAAAGGTCACCAGACTCATGCTTCCAGGGCTGTTTTTCTCTGTCACATAGAAAGAGGAAGAGGAGCCAGAGAAGACCTGTTTTATGGTGTACAAGTCCTGTCTCCACTGCCCTAAGGGTCAACACTTGATTAATTGGATATTGGGCTTCTTGGTAGGGATTTGGTCTTATGGGCTAACAGGGGAATTTGTGTAGGCTTGGCAACTTGCACTAGGAAAGACAGTGTTGCCTGCACAGAGGCAGGTGTCAAAACCACAAGCTGTCAGCTTCAGACCATAAAGCTGCTTGAAAACTGCTTGCTACTCATAGGCACACAGAGCCTGCATTTTCTACCCTTTGAAAAGGCCATGGGTCTGTCCCTGCACTTTGATCTCATTTTTTTCTTCTGTCCCCCTATTTGGAATGAGAATGTTTATCCTGTGCCGTTATATATTGGAAGTGTTTAACTTGCTTTTCATTTTATGGGAGCTTCCAGCTAAAAGTTTGCCTTAAATCTCAGAGGAGACTTTTGACTTGGACTTTATAGCAATAATGAGACTATTAGGACTTCAGTAAATCTTAGCGATGGGCTAAATGACTTTTGCATAAATGGATGTGCATGCGGGTCCAGGAGAGGAATATTATGGCTTGTATCTCGATGTTCCCAAAGCCTCATGCATTGATAAGTGGGGCTTTTCAGAGCTGGATGGATTTATGGTATGTTATGCTGGGATTAAGGGTGTGTTGTACTAAATTAGTCTACTGAGTGGTTTCACATGGTTTTGGGTGTGGATAATGGGAAGGCCCACCCTGGGTGTGGATGGCACCACCCAAAATCCTTGTAGCCTGGATATTATAAAAGGGAAATGAAGGCTTGCTTCTGCTGCTTCTCACTGCTTCCTGCCTGCCCTGGCATGCACTGTTTCTCCTCTGCCATGCCACCTTGCTGTGGAGTCAGCTGACTATGAACTGAAACCTCTACAAACAGTGAGTTGAAATAAACATTTTATCCTTTAACTAGTGGGTGTGGAGTATTTTGTCTCAACAATGAGAATGTAGCCAAGACACTGATTAAGAGGTTATTATTATAACTTTAATGCTTCCCTTGCTTTCTGGGTACCATCCACTCACCTTATTAGGCAAAACTGTATCAATCTCCTGCTGGAGTTTCTTCTGGACATCAGGATGAGTGGCCAATTCATACATAACGAAAGAAAGAGCACTGCTAGTGGTTTCATAGCCACCAAAAATAAAGATAATTGATTGGGCCACGAGCTCCAGATCAGACAGAGCTGATGGGAAAGGAAATACATTTGAGGGAAAGCCAGTTAATGTATAATATCACAATACAGATGAAGAGAAATCCAAATATAATGCACAAATACCCAGGTAAAAAAATGAAAAAGCAACTTAGAGTCACACTGGGAGTGGTGTCCTCTTTTTTTATCTATTTAACACGGACTGAAAAGGAAGAATAATTTTAATTTAATTTCTCAAGATCTACAGGGTTCTTGGTCATTTGTTCCTCATTATGCCAACTTCACCAGCAACCCAGCTGAGTAATTTCAAGAGATGTTATTTCTGTGCAATATACAAAGTTTAAGTAGTGTGCCCCTTGGATAAAGATCAAACTAGTTTGTATGTGTAAAAATGCTGATAGTATTCTCTTAGGAAAAATGTAAATTATCTTAGTTAAAAACAGCTGGAAACACTTTGAAAGATTTTCAATACTAAGCAATCACTGTGAAATTAAAGAATTATTCATCTCAATATATTTGGGGAAACTTTGTGAACAATTTTGGGCATCAGTGAAACTGGTAGTACTCAGTGTGGTCCACAGACACTCAGGATCAGCTGCATCTGGAAGCTGATTAGAAACACAGGCTCTCAAACCCACCTAAGATTTACCACATTAAAATCTGAACTTTCTCAAAATATGGTGATTTATATCTACAACCTCACCCAAGTAACAACTTTTCAGAAGCATCAAGCATAAGAGTACCTGGGGCGCCACTCTTGTACAGAAACCAAAGAGAAAGAAAGCAGGTAGAATAGTGGTGATTGACCCTAGTATAACGAATGGAGTTAGAGTAGCAAAAGAAAGAATGTTTGAATAGAAAGAAGTTGGGAGTGAAATATGGGAAAAATTAGGGTATGGTGAGCAAAATTAGTAACACTATTCAATCATGGCTCAGATGTCTTCTTCTTTAGCATATGCCCACTCTCTCTTCTCTACTGAATCTCACAACAGCCCTTGTGATAGATGTTGTTTCTCCTCTTGAATTTCTTCTGAGAGAAGCTAAGTACAGTTAGGCATTGGTCTCAGTGATCAGGGAATGGAGTAGGTAATGTACATATCCAAAGCCTTGAAATAAACACTTTGCCTGGTCCAATCGTAAAATTCAAGACTAAATACATTGCAAAATAAAAGCTTGAGAGCTCTACAGAGTTCTGTTTTACTAATGATAATAACAGTTTTTGTAATGATATTGTGGAAAATTCTACTAAAATGTCTTTCTTCCAATGAGCATGAATTTCAAAAAATGAATTGAAGTTTAATTAGAAAGTCAAAATTTAGAACTTTGATGTCCACTGTTAGCCACTAGTCCCACAAGAATATTTAAATTTTAATTAAGAAGGAATACAATTTATACTTTAGTTCTTTAGTGTCAGTTTAGTGTCACATTTCAAATGTGCCAAATGTATTTGGAAGTTACTGTATTGAACAGTGAAATTATAGACTATTTCCTTGATCCCCAGTACCAAAAAGAAATTATAGACTATTTCCTTCAATAATGTTCAATAGTTCAATATTGAACTAGACAAATAGAAGAGAATAAACAGGTCGATATATTTGTAGACATAGATATATTTACTTGGGTGTGATGTAGTCAGTCTATTCTTCTTTGGAATGAACTGCAATTTCAGGAATTTTATCAGATTCTTGTTACACCCTTGTAGCTTCAAATTGATCAAAGTGAAATTATGTCACAGAAAAATGCTATCAATTAGGGAAATATTTGAGGGGAAGGAACTATTGAATAATCACATCTAGGTCCCACCTTTTGTTTTGTAAAAGATTAGTTTAAAACTAAACAATAAAAAGGAAAAGAATTAGAAAGAACTCAGAAGCCCAACTGAAAGGGCTTCCAGTGGTCAAACCTGAGAATTTGAGCATCAAAATAAATAGTAATGGAAAGAAAATAAGTTTATTATACAACATTATTTAAACAAAAGAGATTTTAAAATATAGGAAGGAAGACAGAGGACAGGAAAGGAAAAGAGAGGAAAGAAAAAAGGAAAAGAAAGGGTGTGGAGGAGAGGAGAGGGAGAGAGAAGGGGCAAGGTGGGAGGAGGGAAGGAAAGAGAGGGGGATTAGGAGAGGGGAAGGAAGGATGGGGCAGGTAAGGAATGAAAAGGAGGGGAAGGGAAGTGCAGAGGAGGAAAGAGGATGAGAAGGAAGGAAAGAAAGAGAAAGAGAAGCAAGAAGGAAAGGAAGAAAGAAACAAAGAAAGAAAGGCATGTTGACCTACACTGAAAAGCTAACCTATAAATATGTGAGAAATGATGGAGTTAGAAATTCATCATTTTATAACAATCATAGCAATAATGATTTTTCTCCAAAACCATCCACTGATGATAAGGATGGTAGATGAAAGTATAAAGGAAGGTATTAACACAGTTCCAAAGGTTTTCCTCACAAGGTACTTACCAATTACAAGAGGAAAATTAAACACTTTGCAGCAGATTAAGCTAATGAACACTTCCACCATTATTCACAGTGAACATCACCACTGTTCAGAGACTATTCCTTCTTTTTAGATGTATTGGTGCAAATTTCCAGACAGAGATTCTGATTCTGTGGGTCTGGATGTGGCTAATAACCAGCATTTGTTCTGATATGGGTGACCCAAGTCCACTGACTTTATCCAGGCATGAAACGCTTGTGTACATTGACTTCAATATTTGAATATTACTGTTCATGTTCCTGGAATGTGCCTCTAACTACTGTGTAGAATATCCAAATGTGTCTTTCTGCAATCATCCAGAAACTTTTTGCTGTTTGGAAACCCTCCTGTACATTTCTAGAACAATGCCCATTCTCTCGGATTCACCATCATTAGCCTTTGGGGCATTGTTAGTTACCTTTATGAGACTCTGTGTCTTTGGAATTCTGGGAGTTTATCATCAGCTGAAGAAAATCCACTCGGTGCTAGAAACAGAAAAAGAAATTTCAAACCCAGAAGATCAATCATGAACTCAGAAGTAAATCAGCACAGTACAATATAAAACTTCCTTCTGAGGCTATAAAACTTTCGCTGAGGTTGCCTGTGTAATTGGTGAAAAAATAAACACTGATCTACAAACTTTGGAGAGCAAGATTTTTACCTGAGTGAAAACCAGACATTGTTTCCAATAGCACTCAGTCTCTGAACTCCCCAATCCTGACTTGTCTGCTTCCTGAACACAGATTCCTGGTCAGAGAGTGGCAGCTCCTTCTCCTGTCACACCTGCTTACTCAGAATGAAGTCCTGGATGTTAATTCTTAATCAGTGGCCCATAGACTAATCTACCATTTCCAGAGCTCATCTGTAGGCTTTAGGAACCCATCTTGAAATAGACCACTGTCCTGGAATGCAACGTAATTTTTAGTGATACCCAGTCATACTTCCCTGACTAAAGACATCCCTATGATGGTGTACAGCCCACTTAAGGCAAAGCTGTGAAACCCAGAGAAGTCCCATGGCCACTCAAGGTCATGATGGGCTCAAACTTAACAGAGAACAAACTGCATCAGGTAGTCTCAAAGGACTGTCCATTAGATAACAGGAAACATAAAATGATTCTTTGTGAATATAAGATCTGAAAGTAAAGTGCCTGGGAAATGAAGGTACAAATAGAATTTTTATCCATTGAAGGAACTGTCAAAATCCTTTCTTCTAGCTACTAAAAATATGTAGTACATTATATTTATCTATAGCCAATCTACTGTACAATAGCACATGAGAACTTCTGGCTCTTACCTAACCTAACTTGGTACTCATAGATCAATATTTTTCATCCTCCCTCAACTCTTTCTGTTCTCTGGTGACCACCATTCTACCCTCAACTTCTATGGGATCAACGTTTCTTAGGTTCCACATATGAATGAGATCATGTGGTACTTGTCTTTTTGTGGGTGGCTTAATTTACTTAATACAACAATTTTCTGTTCAATCCATGTTGCAAGTTACAGGATTTCATTCTTTTTAATAGCTGAATAGCGTATCATTTTGTAAATGTATTACAATTTCTTTATCCATTCAGGCACTGATGCATACTTAGACTGTTTCCATTTCTTGGGTATTGTGAACATTGCTGTAATGATTCATGGCAATACAACATGTAATGCCAGTAATATATACAATTATTATTATCAATAAAAATGTTTAAAATTAGTGATGTGAACATGGGAGTGAAAATGTCTTTTCAATGTACTGCTTGCATTTCCTTTGAATATATACCCAATAGGAGAATTGCTGGATCATATGGTAATAGTTTAAGAAATTTGTGTATGGTTCTCCGTGACTCTACTAATTTACCTTCCCTCCAACAGTGTGCAACCCTTCCTTTTGCTGAAACTTTGTAAAGAGTATATCTCAACAATATGCACGCCATGACAAACTAGTATTGTCATGCCTATTATTTAATTGTAAATACTTTCTCTCTGACTCAGTCTGCACTTTCTCTAAAATACAAGATCTCTCTTTCTCTTAGAGCTCTTCATCTAACTTTATATTTTTATTTTTTTATTAGTACATGTTTGCAGTACATGCAGCTTACAATCATCTTGGACAGTGGGTACTTGTACATAATACAGCTTGATTCTTTTTTAGTCTCTCCCTCTTCTTCTAAATTCCCTTTCCTTATTTTCATTCTTGTTGATATTATTAATCTTATCTTATATTTATGATATATAATGCTTACGATCATTTAGATTATTAGGTTCCTGTATATGGCATGTGATAATACAGAAATGTGCAAAAATCGTATATATAAGCTAGGCATGGTGGTGAACATCTGTAAACCCAGCTCTTTGGGAAGCTGAGGTTGGAGGGGTTGCAAATTTGAGCTGAGCCTGGGAAATTTAGTGATTTAATGAAATTCTTCTCATAATAAAAAATAAAAATGTGCTCGGGATGAATGAGAGAAAAAGAGGGGAGAGGGAAAGAGAAGGAGAGTGAAAGAGAGAAAGAAGACAAAGAATCAGAAGAAAAGATAATCAGAAGGAAGGAAGGAATGAGGGAGGAAGGGAAGGGAGGAAAGAAATGAGAAATCATATGGATACAGTCCAATAAATTATCAACAAGTGAACACTCACATGTAACTACCATCAAATTTTACCTTTTCTTTCTCTTTGAGACGACTTTCTTTCATCCTTTCAATGGATATTTTTAAAAAATCTGTAACATCTCTTGGAAATATAGAGATATTTAATGCCTCCAACACTGGTGTAAGGAATGGAAAAAATACTGTGGAGAAAGACAAAAAGAGACAGTGAAAATGCAAAATTTACCTGGAGCAATTACAGTTGTACACCACTCTGGTTATTAAGTTATCAGAGTTCTCACGTGGAGCTATTCTTTCTGACACTTTCTTTGGGCTGCAGGCTACTGCCTGAGCAAGGGCACATCGCAGAGGGCCACCACCATAGTGGTGTCATCAGTGGCCACATCTGCACTGATCAGAGGAGGAGGATTGAACGCTGACCTCTTCTCCTTTGTGGCTGATTAGAACAGTCACTTTGCACAGATCAGGCTTTAGTCTGGTGCTATAACTAATCATGCTGTTCAAGAAAGAGAAGTCAGTGTAGAACTAATGCAGGAAAAGTTTCTCAACTAGCATACAATGAAAACAGATATAAATAATTGGAAAGCTCACAAATATATGAAATTAAATACACACATATATAATCGATGGATCAAAGAAAAATAAAAAGGATTGTTACAAACTGGTTGAGATTAAAAAAATGGAGAATAAAATGAGTGTATGATGAATGAAAAGCAGAGCTCACAGGGAAAGTTATAACTATTGAGTAATAGAGATCTCCAATTAATAATCACACCTAATACCATAGATCACTAAAGAAAAAAGAGCAAATAAAGTTAAGCAAACACAAGGAAGACAATATTAAAGACCACAATGGAATCTAATGAAATAAAAAATAAAACACAACTGAAGAAATTAATAAAAACTAATATTACTTTGAAAATATCAACCAAATTGGCAAAATGTTACCTATATTCACCCAGAAGTAAAAAGAAATGACTGAAATTACTAGCATCTAAAGATCAGAAATAAACTGATTAAAATTAATTGACATTAATGAAATAATGGAATAAATCAGACACAGAAGCTTAAATAGTGCATGTTTTCTCTTATATGAGAAATCAAAAATATGAATAAAGAGCAAAATAAAAGACAGATAATAGGAAATAGCAAAATGGATCTTTTTCAAATGGAAGGGAATCTAGAGATGAGGGAGAGACAGGAGGGACAGGGGACAAAAAAATAATTGAGGTATATTATGTATAGGTATCAACTTTCCACAAGGAATGTAATCTGTATGTGCTACAACCATATACTAATAAAAAATTAAAATTGAAAAAAGAAAATCCTATGAACTCAAAAATATACAGAGGAATATAAAGGAATTCTATTGATAATCAGATTATTAGAATAATGATATAAGTAATATGACAGATTCAATGAACAAAATCAGAGAAAAACATGTATTATAAAACTGACTCAAAAAGAAATATGAATATACCATATGCATAGATCTGTAACATACAATGAAGCAGAATTTAAAATGAATAACTATCTACAAAGAAAAGCTAAGAAATACATCATTTCAATGGAGCACTTTAACAAATATTTAAAGAATTAACAAGAACTATTCAGGAACATGTCCGAAATACAGGAGTGAACACTTTGCTGAAATTTTCATAAGGTCAATATTGTCCTAATAACAAGAACAATAATGCCACAGAAAAAGAAACCTAGAAACTAATATATCTTGTATTTCTGGAAGAAAATCCTAAACACAATATTGTTATACTGAATCCACCAACATATAAAAATGATCGTATACCATAACTAGGTAGTATACACTTTAGAATTAATACATTGTATGAAATATATGCACAAAACAGTTTGACAAAACACAACACCCTTTTGTTATTCAAAAAAATCAAATGGGTTTGGGGATGGGGGAGAAAGGAAGGGAGAGGGAAGTAAAGAAGATAGAGATGCAGTATGTGTATTACCAATTCATCATGATGAATATATTATGCTTCACAAGAATATACTAATAAAAAAGAAAAGACAAAATCAGTAAGTTAGGAATAGAAGAATTTCCTCAACTGGTAAAGGGCATCCATCAGAAATTTATGGCTCACATAATAGTAATACCTTAGTGGTTTCCTCCAAGGTAAGGTAAAAGACAAGGATACCTCTCTCACACTTTTTAGTCACATAGCTCCATTTCAAAATATAAGACTAATACATAAAAATAAATTACATTTCTTGCACCATAAGAAACAATCCAAAAGCAAACAAATCCACTGACAATAATATCAAAAAGTAGCATACTTACTGATAAACTTGAAAAAAAGTGACATATACTAAAAACTACAAAGTGTTGTTCAAATTAAAGAGGATAGAGATGAATAGGCAAAACATGCTATGGTCATGGACTAGAAAATTTATTATTATTAAAATGTCAACACTCTTAAAATTCACCTGTAGATTTAATGCATTCTCTGCCAGAGTCCTAACTGATTGCTTTGTATAAAATGACAACTTAATGTTAATAATCGTATGGAATTTTAAGTGGCCCAAAATACTGAGGCAAACTTTGGCCCCAAATGTTTTTAGTCATTTCAAGGCGTCCAAACAAGATTGAAAGAGAGAATGAAGTTGTATGATTAATGATTTCCAATATCAAAACTTTCCACAAGGCTATAAAAGTGAAGGCAATATGGTACTGGTGCAAGTAGAAAATTAGATAAATGAAATTAGATAAATGAAATACAATTTAGAATACAAAATGAACATGTGCATATGATTTGTTGGATTTTGAGGAAGGCATCATGGCAATTGAGTTGGGGAGGATGTTCTTTAAAAAAATAGGTGCTTGGATAACTGGACAGTCCCACGCTAAAGAATAAACCTGCCCCTTACTTCAACTGCAAACAAAACCTAACTCAAAATCAACAAAGCACCTGAAAATATAAGATTTAAAATGATAAACTCTCAGAAAAAAAAAACGAAGGCAGTAAGCTTTCATGGTCTCACCTTTGCAATCGATTCTAAGATTTTAAACTCAAAGCAAAAGCAAAAACTAAAAATACCTAAATTCTACTGCATCAAATTAAAATAATTGTGCTTCAATATACATGATCAAACAAGAAAATGAGATTTATAAGTAGGAGAAAAAAATTGCAAATGATATATCTCTCCAGGATTTCTATCCAGAATATATAAAGAAATCTTGCAATTCAACCACAACAATAGTTTAGTGATAAGAAGGCAAAGAATTTGGAGAGACATCTATCTACAGAGGACATAAAAATATTCATTGTTACTCAATATCATTATGACTAGAGAGATTCAAATCAAAATCACAATGTAGTACTACTATACATGCACCAGGATGGCTATACGCTAAGTGATGGAAATACAAAGTATTGGATGAGATGTGGAAAAATGGGAACCCTCATGCATTAAGGTGGGAATTTAAAATTGTGCCACTATGGTGAAAAACACATCCACAGTACCTTAATAAACATACAATTACTACACAACCCAGCAGTTTGAGTCAGAGTGTATAGGCAAAAGAACTAAAATCAGTGTCATCTCCAAATTCTTTCTACAGTGTTTTGTAATTTTCATTGTTTTTCACCCCCTTGGTGAGACTTATTCCTAGGTGTTTTATGTAAGCTATTTTAGATGAAATTGTTCTGTGATTTCTTTCTCAGTGGATTCATCATTGGTGTATAAGAAAGCTATTGGGTTGATTTTTTAAATGAAGATATTGCATGCTGTAACTTTTGCTGAATTTGTTTTCATGTCCAAACCCCTGTTTGTGGTGTTTTTAGGGGCTTCTAACTAAAGGATGATATTGCTTGCAAATATGAATCATTTGAGTTCTTCTTTTTCTACTTGTATCTTTTAATTTATTTTTTCAGGTATAATTGGTCTGGATGAATTTTAAAGTACTAAATTGAAGAGGAATGGTAAGAATGGACACTCTTGGCTCTTTCCTGATTTTAGAGAAAATGTTTTTAGTTTTGTTCATTTAACATGATGTTGACTATAGTTTTGTTCTATATAACTGTTACTATACTGAGGTAAGATCTTTCTATACCTAGTTTTTTAGGGTTTTACCATGAAGGGATATTAAATTTTATCAAGGGCTTTTTCTGCTTCTTTTCACATTATCATTTGATTTCTATTTATGGGGAATATTACATTTATTGATTTTATATATTGAAGTATCCCTTTCTTGGGTTCATGAATTAGCAGAATTAATATTGTTAAAATGGCCATTTCACCAAAAGTAATCTACCAATTCAATATCCTCCCCATCAAAATAGCAATGGCACTCTTTATAGAATTAGATAAAACAATCCTAAAATTCATGAGGAAATCTAAAAGATCCAGAATCAACAAAACAATTCTAAAGAAAAAAAAGCAAGGCTGGAGGCATCACAATATCTAATTTTAAATTATGTACAAGTCATAGTAAAAAGCACAGTATGATACTGGCTCAAAAGTAGGCACATAGAACAATACAGTATAATAGATTGCAGAATAGAAACAGACTCATGCAGCTCCAGCTGTCTGGTTATTGACAAAGGGGTCAAAAATACACCTTAGAGAACAGATAATCTCTTTAACAAATGGTACCTGGAAAACTAGATATTCATACATAAAACAATGAAACTAGATCCCTATCCCTTACCCTGTACAAACATCAATTTAAAGTAAATTAATGACACAGGTGTAAGACCTGAAACTTTGAAATGCAAGAAGCAAACATAGGGAAACAGTTGTCATAGGCATGAGCAAAGGCTGACTGATAAGGACTCTAATGAGACAGAAAATAATGACAAAAATTAGCAAATAGAGTTACATCAAATTAGAAAGCTTCTGCACAGCAAAGAAAACAATAAACAGAGTAAACAGATTCTGTACTGAATGGGAGAAAATATTTACCAGCTACTTTTCTGGCAGGGGATTATATCCAGAATATACAAAGATCTCAAAAATCAACACCAAAAACTCAAAAAATCAAAAGTAATAAGTAAGCAAATGAATTAAACAGATTTCTCAAAAGAAGTACACAAGGCTAATAAATGTATCTAAAATGTTCAATGTTCAGCATCTTTATCCATCGAGAAATGCAAATCAAAACTACATTGAGATTTTATCTTATCACAGTTGGAGTAGCTATCATCTCTCTTCCAGCTGGTTTAGTGTTTCTGTTTTAATATTTAGATTTTTGAGCCATTTTGATTTTAGTTTAGTGCATGGTGAAAGACATGCATCTAGTTTTAATCTTTGGCAGGTTGAAACTTAGTTTTTCCTTCAATATAGCAAATTTGCCCTTGGGTGGGGGAGATTTAGAATGAGTTGGGGGTGGCAAATAGAGAAATAGAAAGAGAGGGAAAGATTAAAAGTAAGGCTAGAGAACACAGGAAAACAATGCAAACTTCAGGAAGCTGGTGAAGACAGGAGGGAAAAAGAGAGGGAACAAAAACAAGAGCAGAACAAACTAACAGCAATAGGAAAACTAGAAACCATATTCACACTCCTATAAAACTGAAAACAATGTAGAAAAAACAAAATGGGACAAATAGGAACAAGAAAGGTGAGAAATGAAGACACAGGAGAAAAGAAAACAAAAGCCAATACAACATAACAGAATTTATGGGACACAATGAAAGCAGTCCCACAAGGGAAATCGTCAATAAGATACTGGCAAACAAAGTGCAGATCATCAAGAAGATCATGCACCCTGAGCAAGAAGGATTCATCCCAGCGATGCAGAGATGGTTCGACATACATAGATCAATAAAGATAATACACTACATTAACAGAATCAAGAACAAAAGCCATATGATCATCTCAATAGATGCAGATAAAGCATTTGACAAAATCCAACACCCATTCATGATTAAAAAAAAAAAAAGTACAGAAAATTGGGATAGATGGTCTTTATCTCAACCTGATAAAAGCCATACATGAAAAGGCCACAGTCACCATCATAGTAAATGGTCAAAAACTGAAATCTTTCATGCTAAAATCAGGAAGAAGACAAAGATGTTTACTCGTACTACTTCTGTTCAATATAGTTTTGGAAACATTAGCCACAGCAATTAGACAAGAGAAAGAAATAAAAGGAATAAAGATAGGAAAGGAAGAAATTAAATTGTCATTATTTGCTACATGATATTCTATATAGAAGAACCCAAACTACACCAAAAGTCTTCTAGGCGTAATAACCAAATTCAGTAGAGTAGCTGGATACAAGGTCAACACTCAAAAATCAATAGTTTTCCTGTACACAAACAACTGGCTCATTGAGAGAGTTACTGGGAAAACAACTCCTTTCACAATAGCATTCATAAACGTGGAATATCTAGGAATCAATCAAACAAAGGAAGTAAAAGACCTCTACTCTGAAAACTAAAGCACTCTCAAAAAAGAGATTGAAGAGGGAATCAGGAAATGGAAATGGCCATACTTCCAAAACTGCTATATAGATTCAATGAAATCCCAATTGAAATTCCAACCGCATATTTCACAGAACTTAAGAAAACAATTCAAAAATTCATTTGGAACCAGAAGAGACCTAGAATAGCAAAAGCAATTCTAGGCAACAAAGACAAGGCAGGGGGTATCATAATCCACAGCTTGAAATATTACAAAGCTACTATGATAAAAACAGCATAGTACTGGCAAAGAAACAGACCTGAGGACCAGTGGAACAGATTAGAAGATGAATAAAGAACTCCAGACACACTCAGCCACCTCATCTTTGACAAAGGAGCCAAATACCTTCACTGGAGGAAAGATAGCCTCTTTAATAAATGGTGCTGGAAAAACTGGGTTTCAACCTGCCAAAAATTAAAACTAGATCCACATCTTTCACCATGCACTAAACTAAAATCAAAGTGGATCAAAGATCTAAACACTAAAACAGAAACACTAAACCAGCTGTAAGAGAGGTGAGGCAGAACTCTTGAAGACATTGGTGTAGAAAGACTTTATTACCAAAACCTCAATTGCACATGAACTAGCACAAAAAATCACCAAGTGAGATCTTGTCTTATTAAAAAGCTTCTGCACAGCAAGAGAAACCACAACAGAGCAAAGATATAATCCACAATGTGGGAAAAAATTTTACCAGCTCTTCCTCAAACAAAGGACTACTATCTAGAATATATAAAGAACTTTAAAAAATCGGACCCCCAAATTTAAAGACCCAATCCAAAACCAGGGATCTGAAATGAACAGACATTTCTCAGAGGAAGAAGCAGAAGAAGCAAATAAACATATGAAAAAAATGTTCAACATCACTGGTCATACAAATTAAAACAATGCTGAGATTCCATCTCACTCTAGAAAGAAAGAAAGGCTGCTGTCAAGAAATCAACCAATAAATGTTGGCAGGGCTGTGGGGAAAAGGAATCTTTATCCACTATTTGTGCGAGTGTAGGCTGGTGCAACCACTTTGAAAATCAGTGAGGAGATTCCTCAAAAAACCTAGGATTAGAGGTCTCATTCAACCTAGCTATTCCCCTTCTGGGTATCTGCCCAAAAGATTTCAAAGCATCATACCACAGCAATATATGAATGACCATGTTTATAACAGCACAGCTTGTAATAGCTAAATCTTGGAATCAACCCAAATGCCCATCAACTGATGAATGGACTAAAAAGATTTTTTTATATAATGGAGTACTATTAGCCAAAAGAAGGATAAATGTGAGACATTCATAGCTAAATGAACGCATATTGAGACCATAATCTTAAGAGAAATAAGTAGGACACATGTGTAAATACCAAATTGTTTCTCTAGTGTGAGGGACTGAAAGTGTAAATGAGGACCAAAATGTATAATTGATATTGTGAAATGGGAAGAAAAAGTTCAAACAGGAAGGCAAGCTGGGGTGGGGAGGAAAGAAGAGAAAGAAAAATATGAGAAAAGAAGGAAAAATGGAAACAAAGCTTTTGTAAATAGGGAGGGGTTGAGGGGTGGAAGGGAGGGAAGGGAAATGGGAAAAACAAGAACCAAGATATATCTTGTACAGGTACAACTTCCCAATGATAAATGCAATCATAATGTATACCTGATTTGTACTAATAAACTTAATGAATTAAAAAAAGTCAGTGTGAAGTTTCTTTAAAAGCCCCTAAAATTACAGCTGCCAGTAGATACAGCCATATTACTCCTCAGTATATTCTCAAAATGATTGAAGTTACCATATTACAGTAACACCTCCATATCCATGTTTATTGTGGCAAAATTTACAATTAACTAAACTGACAGACACTATGGTGTCTGTCAATGGATGCATGGCTAAAGAAAATATGGTATATACACACAATGGAATATTTTTGTTCATAAAAGTGATTAAGTCAAATCCTGCAATTTGCAGACAATCGGATGAAACTGGAGATCATCGTGTTAAGCAAAATAAGCTGGAATTAGAAAGTAAACTGTCACGTGTTTTCTCCCATATGTAAAATCCTAAAAAATATTTACAAAAAGAAAGAAGAAATGACAGGAAAGTAGATGAGAGACTAATAGGGAAGTGGAAGGGATGCAAGGGAGAGTAGAGGAAGGGGAGGAGGTAATGTGAGATTAAATTAATCAAAGAGTGTCATATGCATATGCAAATATGTTGAAATAAAACCCACTATTAAATACAACAGGCATGAGCCACTAACATTAAAAATAAAATGGAAAAGTACCTAACAATACTTTTTCAAATTCAAACTCATAGAAGAACATCCTTAGCAGCACTGTTCTCAGTAGCCAAAAGATGAAAATAATCCATATGTATGTTAAGTGATGAATGGATCAGTAGAATGTGCTACGTTTGTGCAAGGGGATATTGTTTGGGCATAAAAGGAGGTAAAACACTGATGCATGCTTCATAATGGATGAAACTTGAAAACACAGTGACAAATGTGAGAAGTCACCACAAAAGGCTGTGTATCATCCAATTCCATTTAGATGACATCTCCAGAAAAGACAAATCTACAGAATTAGAAAAGAGATTAATATTTGTCTAGGCCAGAGGAGGATAAGGAAACTGATAATTACAAAGTACAGGTTTTCAAATTGATAAAAATGCTCTATAATTGGTAGTGATGATGGCTGCAATAATCTTTAAATTTACCAAAAAACCATGGAATTCTACAGTTTAAATGGGGAAGTAACATGGTATGTGAATAATAAATCAATCTGTTATTTAAAAAGAGATAAAGAATAAAACAGTAGTCCACATACTTATTAACATGAACAGTGGGTCAAAAATACCAAATTTTAAGATCTTCTTGACTTTTCCCACAAAGGGATCTTGTGGATTGTTGAGTGAATCGACATTCACTCCAAATGATGTGCCAGTGATCACATCCATGCTGTAGGCCCCAAAGATGCTGAGTAGAGAAAGACATGAAAAATTAAATTTTGCACTTCTCTGCCATCCTTCTGTTACTTATTGAGTAAGATGTGGGAGTAGATTCTTATGACCAGGAAAGACAGAGACCCACACCCTGCCAGAACTATCTGTGGGACAATCTGCACACTCTATGTTCCTCTGACTCACTCTTGTTGAGTACTTATTGAGGGCCAATGATGCAATTCCCCCTTTGCTAGGGGTGACAGGGACATAAGGTGATTTAAACTGACAAATACAGATAAATTACAATCATGTGAGTGGGATGTGCAAACACCATTCATCATCAGGACAAGGGTGGAATAATTGACTCTTCTAGGGGAAAAAAGAAAGGCGACAGACCTAGGGCTTGATTCATCCTAGAGCCTGTGCACATAGCTTATTCTTCACACATCACACAACAGTAACATCCTGTTCTGAGTGGCTAGGAGCATCTTTTGTTCAAGCTCCTGATAGATCTGTTCTTCCCCTACTCCAGTAATCTGAGTTGCCCTCAGGGCAGAAACATTCCTGCAGAATATGGAAACCAAGACTATTCCTAATTTAAAGCTACAGCAAATCTCTCCTGTTTGGACTTGTAGGATCCCATATTTAAGTAACCACATGTCTTCTGTTTGCTCAGTCCAATTTCAATTTACACTCATAACTCTTACATAAGTCCAAATTTTCCAGTTTACCAATAAATGATGTAGTTGCCTGACTCATAACCTCTCCAGAACCTTCATTCTGTTGACATTAAAGGAACAAGAAGTGATGAGAAGATTTAATATTTATGCTTTTATGGCAATCTCTATAAATCTTTCTCATGAAGAGGTTTAAGTTAATTTCTACACTGTCACTTTTATGGCCCATGAACGATCTCCTGATAACTAAAATTGCCTTTTCCTGCCACCACTTCCTATCCTCTACACTCACAAGTTTGGCACTATCATATTTTCTTCTTTCTAAACTATATATTTGTCCTCCAGAATAGCCAAAAACATCATTAAGCACCTAAATTAATCTTGATCCCTGTAAATAGGGGGAAGACTCTCCCCTAACTTCCCAACTTTCTCTTGGAAAATGTGCTTTCTTGGATGGCCTGTTGAAACTGTAACACAACACTATTGCTTTGCTCAGGTTACTGGAGTTACTCAGCAGTGGAAATTTCAGTTCTCTGGCAGAAAGCTGGAGACTCTCATGACAGTTCAGAAGCCCAACTGATGCGCTGCTACTTACTCTTTCATGGAGACAGGTTCACCTTTCTTGGCTCTCTGTCTCAGGTTTTTCACTAGTACATCTCCATACTGTTCAATGATGGGGAACATCTAAGCACAAAACACAAACACACCACAACTTAAGTAGATGAGGATACTCAAGCCCTATAGTCTATGGCTTGCCCAAAGATGAACTCATAACTTGTCATTTATACTGAATCTGTTTTTGGACTTTAAAAGAGTTTAAATTGGACCATCTGCTGAGAAACATGATAGGGATATTTATAAAGTAGAATTTTCGTAATTGAAATCGTAAGTAAAAATTAAAGGAGGATTAGTAAATCAATAAAAATAAAGTGCAAAACTCCTAGTAAATATCCTTTCTTTTCTAGAATTTTCTAAGAAAGCAGATCTGCCTTTGCCAGAAGTAGATAACCTGGGTGGAATTTTATTCTGATAGACTTACTCTATAATAAACATATTCAAAAACCTATTAGTGTGGGCATGTATATTATGGTAGATGTATCTCTATGAATGTGCTTCTGACATATTTTATGTCCTAATACTGAATTTTATAATGTATATTGGAGAGCATAAATTAAAATGCCATCTTTAGGAAGTTCAAATCCACAGCATCACCCTTTGGAAAGGCACTAGGGTCTTAACTTCTATAGGTCTGCAGATTCATTCCTTCAGCTTCCTATTAAAAGTCCTCTTATTTTATTACCTCCTTGAGTTTCCCAGTGGTGAAGGCTGGGGACAGCAGTGTTCTTATCCTCTTCCATTCTTCATCCTCAGATATACTGATGGCTTTCTTCATAAATCCCACTGGACCAAAAGACTAGAGTACAAAGAAAAAGATATTTTGCCCTGCATGTTTTGGAGGTTCCCACAATTAGATGAATTTGTAGAAATGTATCACTGGCTGTGTGTCAGGTGACTGGCCCTATGTCAGACATTGAATAAATGTTTATTACAAATGAATAACTTTCTGGGAGGTACTGGAGGCACTTCAATGTCTGCAAAATTTCCCCATGGTTGGGAAACTCTTCTTCAAGGTAACAGGGAGTACCAAAACCTCCCACATTCTCCTGGGTAGAGCAAAGTGGAAATAGATAAATAAAAGATACCAGATCCCTTGGACAACTGTAGGTTGCCTTAGACCAGTTCTGTCTTTGTGTTTATATAGGGCACGAGCACCTTGATAATGGAAAGCCTAGATACGGTGATTTTATAAATAGTTATACTTAATATTAAAGGATTAGGACTCTAAATGTTAATCTGGGGAAACAAGATAATTTCGTGAAAGTTCTTTTCTTTTAATTTTTTTCCCTCCAGGGACAGATGAAAACAAGAATCATGACTCGATCTCCCACCTTGGAACTGACAAATCAATGCGAGCTCCTTGAAACTTACCACCATGATCTAAAAATATATTCTATATTAAAATGGATACTCCCAACAGTTATTCATGACAAAAATTAAGAATACTAAGAAGGAAACTTCTTTAATT